TAGTAGATGTGAAAAACATTACCATTGAAATATACCTGATGACTTTATATCCGTGCTCAGATGCCAAGGAGCTCAGAAAGTAACTGACTGTGACTAGTAATAATCAGATATATATAGATTAGAAATGAATGCACATCTTAGTGTCGATTGTATTAAAAATGAATTTTTCTGTATGAAAGTGTGTATTTTAATAATGAAATGGAGATCTTTTTTAAAGTTTAAAACCTCATTTAATTTTATGTCTTATAGGGAGTACAATATTGTGTAACTGTATTAATTCAACTGTAAACCAAAAATTTACAGCCAATTTTGAGAGATGCATCTTAGCTCTGGAAATTGTTGTTGAATATGTCAATGCTGTTGTAATGAAATGCTTCCTCTAATTGTATGGTTATTAAATAAATAATTTAAAAAAATCTGCGCTGGCTCAAGACTACCACACATAAACCCATTACAGCACCCAAGTGCAGGGCTTTCAAGGAATGAGCTGCAGGTCCAGGGGCTATGGTTTTGACGTACTTTGTGCCTGAAGGGCTCATGTGTTGGGAGCTTGGGTGGTGGTGTGCAGCCTTTAAGAGGTGAGGCTTAGGATCTGGAAAGTTGGCTCACTGGTTAAAAGCTCCAGCTATTCTTGAAGAGAACCTAGGTTCAGTTCCCAGGACCCACATGACAACTACAACCATCCATAACTCCAGTTCCAAAGGATCCAATGCCCTCTTCTGGTCTCTGTGGGCATTGCACACATGGGTGAACATATTCAGGCAAAACATTCCCATACATAAAATAAAAATAAACAAATAAAAATAATGTAAAAATGAGGTGAAGCTTAGTAAAAGGTCCTTAGGTCATCTGGGAGGTACCCTGGAAAGGGATTAAGGTAGTTCTTTGGGTGTCTTTGTGTGTGTATTGTGTATGTGTACATGTACATGTGTGTATATGCACACACCTGTGCATGCAGAGGCCAGAGGAGGACACGGAGTATCTGTTCTAGTGCTCTTCACCTTATTTTCTGGAGTCAGCATCTTTCACTGAGCCTGGAAGTAGGCTGGCGACCTGTGACCCCAGTGACCCCTGTGATCACTGTGACCCCAGTGATCCTCCTGTCCCCACTGTACAAAGCACTAGAGTTATAGGCCCATGTGTGGTCATACCCGGCTTTTTATGTGGGCACTGGGGATTTGAACTCAGGTCCTCATGTTTTTACAGCAAGTTCTCTTACCCACAGAGCCATCTCCTACTCCTAAGGTAGTTCTTCAAAGAATAAGTTGCCATAAGAGTGAGCCAAGCCCTGAATGGCTTTGGTTCTTTCTCAGGACACCACCTCTCCCTTCCATACGTCCCATCTGTCCTTAAGCCCCCAGCAGAGTCTGAACCAATGGGGCTGCCTCATCTGGGATGTCCAGTCACCAAACTTTGAGCTCTTTTCTTTATAAACTTATACTTTAGATCTGGTAAGATGGCGAAGCAGGTAAAGTGCTTGCCTCGCAAATCTGATAACGTTGAGTTCAACCCCCAGAAACTAAGTGACATGGTTGGCTTTGGTTGTCAACTGACACACTTATGAAGAGGGAACCTCAGTGAGGGAATTTCCTCTATCGGAGTGGTGTGTCATGAGGCATTTTCTTGATTGTTGAGTGATGTGGGAGGGCCCAGGCCAATGTGGGTGGTCCTACTCCTGGGTTGTATAAGAAAGCAGACTGAGCTCAGGATGAGGAGCAAGGCAGTAAGCAGCGTTCCTCCATGCCTCCATCTTCAGTTCCTGCCTCCAGATTTTTGCCGTGGCTTCCCTCAAGGATGACCTGAACTGAGATGGGACCATGTAAGCCAAGAAGGTTTTTTTAGACACAGAGTCTCCCTATAGCCCCAGATGGCCTGAAACTCATTATGAAGATCAAGCTGGCCTCCATCTCACAGAGATCCACCTGCTTCTGTCTCCTGAGTGCCAGGATTAAAGGCATGTACCACCATGCCCAGCCCCAAGTTGTCTTTGATCAGTGTGTTTTACCACAGCAACAAAAAACAACTAGGACACCATGTAAGGTTGTTGACTCCATAAGGTTGTTCTCTGACCTCCACACACATGCTGTGGCACGTGCCTCTCATCCCCCAGTAATAATAATAAAATAAAAAAATAACGTCATCCATCATTATAGTAGTTAAACCTAATACACAATGTTGGTCCTGAGTAGAGATGTAAGAAAGGTCAGAACACGGGAGCTGCTGGGTGTGTGGTGTCACGAGACAGGGGCAGTAAGAACAGAGACAGAGCTGGAGACGGGCCAGTCAGAGCCCAAGCCTACCTCCTGCTGATGCTTATCAGGCTAGGCCTTGGCTTAGCAGCCACCCCAGGGCACCCTGGGTCACCACTGAGGACCTGGAGCCAATGGGAGCTCATAACTGTGACCCTGCTCTTAACATTTCGATGATTCTTTATAATGAAATATGGCTTTGTCGTTCATCAGTTTCATTCTTTAAGTTTTTAAAAATTACATTTATTTACTTATTTGGGAGGGAGGGACCTGCAGAGGTCATAAGACAACTTGTAAGAGCTGATTCTCTCCTACCATGTGGAACTCAGGTCATCATGCTTGGCAGCAAGTGCCTTTACCCACTGAGCCATCTCACTGGCCCCATTTATCAATCTATTGAAGCAATCTGTCATTTTAACTTTTCACTAAACCAGGCCCAGCCAACTAAAGCCTATGATGTTTGTTGTCTATCAATGTATAATTTCATCAAGGAGAGCGTTTATTTTTTTTTTTTTTTTGGTCTTTTTGAAACAGGGTCTCCCTGTAGCTACAGCTGGCCTGGATCTCATTATGTAGATCAGGCTGGCCTCAATCTCACAGAGATCCTCCTGCCTCTGCCTCCTGAGTGCTGGGATTAAAGTTGTGCACCACCATGCCTGGCCAGGGGAGCTTTCTTACCTCTCGTTCTCTTCATTTTCTTCTTGCTGCTCTAGGGAATGAACCCATGGCCTTACATGTGCTAGATGGTACTAACCCTGAGCTATGCTCCACCCTTGGGAGTTTTCTTTTGCTGTAAAATGCTGCGGAGTTAGTCACTATTTTATTGTTACTGTCACAATGATTGGGTCTGACTCCAGCATCTCTGACACTCCTCTCCACGATATCCCAGAAAAACTGTAGGAACGTGAAAATCTACCGACTGCTGGAAATTGTGATCCAGAAGCCTCTGGTCTGGCTATTCTGACAGAATCGTCACATTTTCATTAAAACAGAAACTCCAGAGGCTGAGGAGGTGGCTCAGTTGGTCAAGGGCTTGTCTGGCAAGCAGGAAGACCTGAGTTTTATCCCCAGAGTCCACATGAAAAGCACAGGCATAGTGCTGTGAGCTTGTAATCCCAGCGCTGGGGAAGCAGAGGAAGGTGGATCCCTGGGGTTTAATGGTCAGCCAGCCTAGCCTACTTGGTGAGCTCCAAGCCAACGAAAGACTCTGTTTCACACAAAAAGGTGGACAGTGTCCGAGGAGTAACGATCAAGGTTTTTCTCTGAGAGCTTCCACTCACATGTGCATGTGAACATGAACATGTACACACACACACACACACACACACACACACACACAACCACAGAGAGAGAGAAAAACTCCAACACTGCAGAGTCCAAACCATCTGTGGATTCTTTCTCCTGTTTTCATCACCGTACCCCATCATTGGGGCCATAGCATCCCTAACAGTTGCCATCACTGGGGTCATGGCACCCCTAACAGCCACCATCCTTGAGCATCCTTGACCATGAGGGTGGGGAACAGACTTTTTTTTGAGGATGTTATAAAACCAGTAAACAAAAATGTCTGAGTATCTTGGATATCCGGTACCTCAAATTTCATTTCATATGGGCACTGAGAAAAACACACTCACCATCTTCTGTACAAAAATAAAGTCTTTGCTGTAAGTGGCTAGTGCTTTATTAAACAGTTTTCTTTCTAGGGAACTCCACTTGTCGGAACCTAAAACAAAACACAAACTTCATTAAGAATAATTCACACACACACACACACACACACACCAAAAATAAAAAGGAGCTAACATTTATGAGTGAGAACTCACTACAGTCTAGATTCCAAATATTTTAGTTATTTGGCATTCAGTTTTCCTAACAACCTTTAAGATTGGTGTCACTGTCATCCCATTGTATGGATGAGGAAATGGAGGTCTTCTACTATGGCTCAGTCATAGGGTTCCAGCAGAGGGGAAGCATACCAGGCCGGAGATGAGTGGGACTAGTTAGCAGATCTGCACACTCATGACACAGAGGCTCTGTGGTGCTGGGATGGTGTTGCCTTTGTGTTGGCCAAACTTGATACTCATGATTTCCCTTCATAAAACAGTAGGGTACACCAATGATTGTGGATACAGAATGACACTAGCCTGTTTGGAGCAAGAAACACAACCTACATCTCACAGGATGGGGGTGGGGCTTGCTGTGGTTTGGGTAAGCTGTGTACCCCTAGCCTTCAGTCCTGGTTCCCTTTAGATATCATTGACATGATGTTCACAGTGATGGCCCTCTGGGGGCAGGGCTGGTAGGAAGTCATGACTAGCCCCTCCCCAGTCACTTTCTGGCTTCCTGTCCCACCATGTGATTTTTCCTTCTTATATTTAGCCCCCCCATGATGCAATCTGTCACACTGCAATGCAGTTTTTCACCACAGCCACTCAATATTGGACTTCTAGCTTCAAAAACTATAAGCTAAATAAATGTATTTTGTTTATAAAATACTCAGTTTCAAGCATTCCATTGCAGTAACAAAAATTACAAAACTCCTAGTTCTGGGTGCACTAGGGAAGAGGTTCACCACTGTGGCAGGCTGACAGACAACCTCGCAGTTCTCGCTTGCCAAATTCTTCACATCTCTGATTCTTGGATGGAACATGGCTGGCCTTTCACATTGTTCCACCGTTTCTCAGAGCTCTGTTTCCTGAAACTGTAGCATCTTTTCTCCTAGCTAGGCAGGTCCAAGTTCTCTATTTTGCTCTGGCCAATTGATGGGGCAACTTGCATAGCAACTTCCAGTCAATGGTTTGAAAAAAAATCAAGTGAAATCAAGTGAAGCTACTTTGGGCAGGCAGGGGCCTCCTTCAGCCATGTGAGATGATCCTAGGATCCTTGAGGGAATGTGGCTCAGTGATGTAAACACAGGTATGTGAAATAAATATCTTTTCCATGTAAATCCTTGCTAGGTCTTCAAGTCAAGAGCTCTGGCTCTAGACTCTGGATACAGTTACCCTAGTTGGGCTGGTTTAAGCTTCAGAGTAGAGCAACTACTTATTTTCTTTGGTTTGCAAGTTTTTAAAAAATTTATTATTTTAATTTTATGTGTATGAGTGTATTGCTCACATGTATGTAAGTGCACTCGTGATGTGCGATGCCTGTGGAGGTCAGAAGAGGACATCAGATCCCCTGGAACTGGAGTTAGGACAGTTGTTAGTCACCATGTGGGTACTGGGAATTGAACCCGGCCCTCTACAAGCACAGTCAGTGCTCTTAACTGCTGAGTCAACTCTCCAGCCCCTGGCTTGCAAGTTTACATTCCTAGTTCTAGAAGGAAAGCAGCTTTGAAGTGAGGCTTTAGCAGAAGCAAACATCTACAGGTTCAACCGCAATAGAAGGAATCATCTTCCATGGTCCTGGAGACACTGACCTCTGTACAAACCACAGCAACGGGGAGGGGAGGGAGCTGGGGGTATGAAGAAGCCCTGCTGGAGTGGACGTGTGTGGAGAAGGTTGGTGATATCTGGGGCTTTACTGCAGCTCTGTCACTGTTCTTAAATTATGTCCACCATTCCATGCCTTGGGGCAAGGGGGTCCCAGCACCTATCTGCTGCTGGATGGAGGTAGAAGGAGGAAGACAGGGGGCTGGAGAGATGACTCAGCAGTTAAAAGCACTGGCTGCTCTTGCAGAGGATGTGGGTTTGATTCCCAGCACCCACATGGAGGCTAACAATCATCTGTAACTCCAGTTCCAGGGACCTGATGTCCTCTTCTGACCTCCTCGGATATTGCACTACACAGGTGCACACATGCAGGTAATACACTCATACACACAAAGTGAAAATAATAAATAAAAAAATAAGAAAACGGAGGACAGAAAGGATTAACCAGCCAGCAACTTTAGCTGGATGACCAAAGGAACAGTCATGGTTCCTTCTAGGTGTCCACAAAACTAGCAAACAGGTAAGAGGATCAGAAAGGTGATGAAAGGAGATGACAATGGTGATGTGCCATAGCTGAGTCACACAAGCTTGTTAGGAGGCTGCTGTGCACAGGCCAAGGATGCACCCGGTATGCATTACAGATGTGCATCAGTAGATGATGACACTGCTTTCCTCCTCGCCAAGATCTATGAATATTCTTTCCAACTTCAGTCAGTTTGCACGACTCTTGAGTTAGTGGACTATTAGGAGCCATCCAGCCTTCAAGTCAGCACTGTCTCTGTGGTGACTTTACTTTCTTCTGCCTTGGGCTGGGCTTGCTAGCTCACTCTTGGTCCAAAGGGCATCGTGAAGTTCCCAGCTCTGCCTGGTGTCAACTCCATAGAAGGCAAAGTAACTTGTTGGCCCATCTGCTAGGCAGGAATCCCCAAACTTCAAGAAGGAAGAAGACCTCTTGGGAGGTCTTCAGGCTTGTTGCTCTGTGATAAGGTCCTTCTGTCCCACCAATCTCAGAGGATTTGCACAACTAGTCCAGGAAAGGAGTGAGCTGCTGGCTCCCTTTCTTCTGTCACTCTTAATTTGATGGGCACAGAGCACAAGCCTAAGAGAATAGCTTTCTGCACAGTGTGACTTAATGCAAACGCCCAACACGGCATCTATGAATCCAGGGGCAGAAGTCAGACAACAAACCCTTCCCACAAGCACTAGAGCTGGCCTCTAGAGACCAGGGATTGCCCACAGAGGCTGAGGCTGTACCCCTGGGCATTGGACTGAATTCTCAAAGCCAAGCCTAGCATCGATAAGTATCATCTGAACACTTTCTCCTCTGATAACATCACTAGGCCATGATAGAGAATGACCCTAGGCAAAGAATGTGCCCTGGCACTTAAGCAGAAAAGTCTGTTTCTCAGTTTCAGATTCCTCACCTGTAACTTGGGGACGGTGGGCAGTACCCTGTGACCAACACTATTTGGTCCTAAGTAGGTACTCAATAGATGTTCTGGATCCCCACTGGTCACTTAGAGCAGATCCCCTGGGACTGGCACACAACCGCTCCTCTGATGTGGGCCCAGTGGTCCAGAAAAGGCTGCCCATTCTTGTTCCTTGCTTTGGTTATTTATAATCCCAAGGCCACTCTGCAGTTCTTTACCTCTGGGACAAAGTCCCAGGATAGCAAGCCTTCCCCTCCCTCTCCTGCTGCCCTCCCTCCCTGTCTGTAAGACCCCAGCTGTCCTCTCAGACTAACTTGCTCCACCTAGGGATTCCCCTATCAGCGGGGGTCCCTAACAAGTTGATTATGGCTAATTAACTGGATGAAACTGGAGCTGGAACAGTATCCAAAAGAAAAATGCCACTGAGTTTTAGTTGCTGGGAAACAGGCTCTGAACTGTAGCTAATTTGGGGGGCAATCTACAGTGAACCCAGGCAATTGAAAAGACATTGAGGGGAGAGAGAAAGATTGGACACAGTATCTTTTAGAGGTCTCTTTGGCTTCCTTCCAGGATTTAAAATCTTTTATTGATGTTGAGTTCTTCAGAAAGATGTGCCCATTGCAGAAAATTTAAGTTTTTAATGCCAGATCTTCAATGTCATACAGGATTTTTCCATAGCAGGTAAAAGCATATCTATCTTCATTCCCCCCACCTCCCAGCCCCCAAGGGATTCAGGCTACTACCAAAGTTTCTTCTAGGTATAGAAGGGAAGCAGACCTCAGTCTGAATCTATGCTTTGAACCTGTCACTCAATATTTTCTTCACAAATGTTGTGTCAGGCGAGGCAACAAGATATGTATTTAACTCAGATCTTTAAGAGGGCCACTATCTAGTTAGACGTGGGCTACGAATGCCCCCAAAATACAATTACAGCAAACAATGCTGTGTTTCTTGAGAAATACTTTCTTGAGTATGTAATTCTGCCTCTTTATTAAACTGGGGCAGCTTCCAAAACAGAGCCCGGGCCTTCCTTATGGAACGGGTGTTTCCTCCAGGATTCCTTCATCTTTTGTAACTCAAGGCAGGGTTTCAGTATGTTGGTTGTGGTAGGAAATGACAGCATTTTTGGTCAAGAAACTAGGTCTGATTTTAACATCTCCCTCCACTCTGAGCCCATTTGCACAAGGACCCATTCAGTGGAGAAACCGAGGATGCTGCAAGCTGCCCAATCACAGCCAGGTGCCTCTCTATGCTGGCTCCTCCCTTCTCAACACCCTGACTCAATCCAAGTGCTAATTGAGAGAGGGACAGGGGTATGGGGGAGTAGGGGTGGGGACTGTGTATCCTGGTGTGCAGTGGGCACTGGGAGGCACTGCACAGCACTTTTCTCTAAGGATGCTGTATAGGCTTCCCCAGCTTTGGCAGGGAGCCTTTGGGTCTGGACCAGCTGCCCACCTTACTGGTCCTTCACTCTGACGCATGTCTCCTTCTGGTCCTAGCATTGGTCATTTTTTTCTTTTCTTACTGAACTGCTTGTGATGGAGTGAGAAAGGGAAGGGAGGTAAAGGAGTGATTTTCACAGGCACGTATCTCTGTCTCCCCAGGAGCCCAGTCTAGGTTGTTCCACCTAGGCACAGCAAAGCCTGATCTGATGGGCCTCTCTAACTAGGATTCTAAAGTGCAGTTCCAGGAGTCAGGAGGGTGATACTGGTCAATGGCCTCAGAGTTGGAAGATGAAAGAGTTCTAGAAGATATGTGTTCCAGTGAGCCTGAAATAGAGCTCACTGTCTTACTGGGGAGTAATAGAATGGATCCTGGCACAGAGCTATGATAGACAGGACTCAGTGACACCCAGGAACCAAGTGCTGGGGTGTCAGGAGTGTGGAACGATGGAAGGGACATACATGGGGGTGAACTCTGCTATTTCCCCATGTTTTAATAGGCACCTGTGAAAGACATGGAATTGTCTTCAACTTTAGGAATCATTGTCTTTTGCCCCATCTGTTCCTAATTCTAGACTATTCTCTGAGCTTTGGTTTATAATCACTTCATGGAGAAGGGAAGTGACTGGCTGACTGGCAGATGGAGATGATGTTAACCCTTTCCATCTCAGTGCCACCTCTGGCCTCCCAGGGCTGAAATGATTTCAGAAAGCAAGAGTTCTTCATGATTTACTTGAGAGGAAAGGGGTCAGGGGAAGGGACCAGCTACTAATCCTCAATCAAAAAAGCTCAATTTATTTCACTAGACTTTCTAAGCTCTTGGTAGTACTTTTGTGTTTTGTTTCCCTTGGGCATGGCGGGGGGGGGGGGGCTTTAGGCCCATAGCTTTTCAGTTTTTTGTTTTTCTTTTTCTATGTTATAATACACATAAAAATAAAAGACTTGTTTGGCATCCTGGGAAGAACTGGAGGGTTACTGTGTCACAGAAGAACTGGATCACAGCTATATACGACCAATCCCCAAGGCTTTGGCTGCACAGTGACCCAAGGTCAAGGACAGCAGCATCTCTCAACTATAGTTAGGAAGTTCCATATAGCCAGCCCACAGTCCCACACACCATGCGAAGAAATTTGGGATCGGCTCCAGGAAGTTGGCACAGCTTGTCAGGGTGTAATGGGCCTCAGCTGATGTTCACATGATGAAACTGTTTCCATGGCAGATTAGAGAACTCCCACATCTTTCTGCCCACATGAGTGGGAAATGAAAAAAATAGTATTAAGAAGTTGGCTCATTCAGACCACTGGTTACATGATGGCTTATCTCGAGTGTCCATTTTGTCCTCTGAGGCCTTTCTACCTGGTGATGACAGATGGCAAGCTGACTCAAGAGTGAAGAATGAGATGCTGAGGCAAACAGTGGATGGTCCATTTAACTCTAAAGGTATTTTCTACTCCCTTGTATTGGAGGGTGTTAATCTACAACACCCCAGGCAGCAGACACCACAAGTATGAAGTCTTTCTTCTGGCATTCAAGTGATCTGGTTTTTGTTGTTATTGTTGTTTTGTTAGGGTTTTATTAGTATTAATTATTATTATTATTTTGGTAGTACTGGGGATTGAACCTAGAACCTTGTACATCCTAAGCAAGCACTGAGCCACATCCCCAGTCCCTGACTCAGTGCTTAACAACTTCTTCCTCTTCAGACTCTGAGGTGCACAAGGCGTGATGACACCTGTATCTGTTGTATCTTACACACACTCCCTAGAACCCAGTCAGCAATCAATCAATAAGCATTGAATAACTGAATATCAATGGCTCATCAGATGTTCTAGGCATTGGCCCCCACACACTAGCTTTCATCTTCACAAAACCTCTATAAAGGGAGTCTGGAGAGACAGATCAGTGGTAAAGAACACTGACTGCTCTTGCAGAGGACCCAGATTCAATTCCCAGCACCCACATGGTGGCTAACAACCATCTGTAACTCCACTTCCAAGGGATACAACACTCTCTCCTGACCTCCAAGGATACTGCACAACATGGGTGCACTTACATACATGCAGGCAGTACACTCATATACATAAAACAAAATAAATACAATATTTTAAAAATTCTATAAAGGATGGAATATGAGTCTCATTTTGAGTGAAAAAAAATCAAGACTGGAGAAAGCCTAAGGATTTGGTCAAGGGGTGCAGTGAAGACCTAAACCCACCTCTCCTAACTTCAAAGCAAAAGGGCTGCTGACAGCTGTCAGCTCTGTGTAGTGACCTTTGTGGCCTTCCTCTCACACATAGCTCCCACTACCACATGTAGACAGTGTCCACCATCCCCCAGGTCTTGGCATACCCATGAGGGTCACGAGTTTATTCAAACATGTGACAGAGTTGGGCCAAAAGACCCAGCATTACCCCAGAAGGCCTTGAGATCACAAGTGATGATCAAGATAGAATCAGTGTTATCTGTCATTAAAAAATGACACGGTCAAGCATGCAAGCTCCCCGCTCTTAGGATGCAACAGGGTACTGGGACCCTGGCAACCTACCGGCATAGTGGTAATTTGCTAAGGGATGACATTTTAACCTGACTGGCTTCCGCAGCAGCAGCATCTCCAGAGTAGCCTGTAGATTCAGAGGAGAGAGAAAGTAAAAGTCAGGCATAGGTCTGAGTGTTCCAGTGGAGACCATCTACCCAAAGGGGAAGCAGGGTTAACACTGCAGAGCCTGGGGGCAGATGTACTGGACAGAAATCCAGAGGCAGACATTGATAATGGGAGTTTCCCTTCCCTTCAGCTCCAATAGGAGTAACCCAGGCCCAAGCCTGAAGCTAGTTGGTCAAGAAACACAGGCAACAGCTGAGACTCCAATGGAGAGCTTCCTTGGAGAGGGCCCTTAGGCCTCAGAGAGATGGGTGGGGCCTCCTCTGAATGGAGACTGAGTCTCTGGGGAAAGAGCCTGGAGGGGAAGGAGTGGGTGACTGGTAACTGCTTTACAGAAAAACCACATCTCAATATCCCTGAATGAGAACAGCTGGATTAGTAATAAGTGTATTACACACTGTCATTCCAGAGAACGCTGCCAAGTAAATCCTCCAAATCTGCCTCCTTCAGCTGCCCTGGCTTTGTCTTTTTTCCCTTATGCCTGGGTGTGTTCATGTGTTGCTATATAGACCGGGCTGGTCTTGATCTCAGAGATCCACTTGCCTCTGCCTGATTAAAGGCGTGCGGCACCTCACCCAATTCACCTTGTTTGCAGTAGGGTCCCTCACCAGCCTGGAGCTCACCAAGAAGGCTAGGTTGTCTGGCCAGTGAGCACCAGGGATCCCAGTCTCTGCTTCCCTAGCATGGGATTGCAAATGCACTCCATTTCATCCAGTGTTATTTTGGTAATGTGAGTTCTGGGGATCAAATTCAGGTCTTCATGTTTATCTGGCAAGCATTTTACCAACTGAGCTCCCCAGCCCAGTCACACTGGCTTTTTAAGAAAACAAAGGCTTCAGCAGAGTTGAACAGTGGATGGGTTAGGGCAGAGCAAGGCAAAGAATCTTGCTACTCCAAGGGCAGTTCACCCACCAGCAGCCCCTGCATCTCTAAGGAGATGATCTCAAAGGCCAAAGAAGAGTTTCTCCAGCGTCCTAGATCATACTTGGAAGTACTGTGACATTTGTTTATTTTTGCTTTTTCATAAAATCTAAAAAGCTGGAACCTGGTTCTAGTATTAGAAAGATCTGCTGGGCGTGGTGGCGCATGCCTTTAGTCCCAGTACTTGGGAGGCAGAGGCAGGTGGATCTCTGTGAGTTCCAGGCCAGCCTGGTCTACATAGTGAGTTCCAGGCCAGCTGGGGGAGACCCTGTCTCAAAAAGACCCCCAAAAAAAAGAAAAAAGAAAAAGAAAGAAAGAAAAGAAAGATCAATGTATTTATATAAAGGGGAAACTGAGGGTAGTGTTGGAGTTATCTAGACAGAAGTTGAGGCTGAGTTGGGGTCTGACTCATGGAAGATGGTGCCATGGGGTTCTAGTTTGGGGATATCTCAGAACTGTGTTAGAGATGTAAGAACAGAACTGATGCATAGCAAACACTTCATTTGCATTAGAGAAGAAGAGTTCTCTAAGCATCAAACTGGCCAATTTCCATAGCCAGGAGGACCAGGAGCAGGGTTCCTCTGGCTGTGCTTAGGCTGATTCTTGATTTAGTATGGCCTTCTACCTCCATCACTGGAAACTCGTTTTTTCCCGATGTGAAACAAGACAGAAGAAGTGAAATTCTAATTTCCTAGGGCAGATGTACCCCTGATCATAATTTAGGAACAGATGTGTCAATAGATGTGCCCATGTGGAGATTTTCAATGCTTCTTCTGAAGGCTTTTATATCCTATCCTACTCACTGAGATGATCCATCCACAACTTCCTTACCATCACATCACCTTTGGCCTCAAAGAGAGAGTGCAAAGCAAATTCAGAATTGGTCCCTCCACCTGGCAACGCACTCGAACAGCACAAATTCAGAAGATTCTCCACTGTTGAGGATAAGGAGAAGTCACTGCATCAGAGAGCTCAGTGCCATGGAAAACCACACCCACTCTGAAGCCAGAGGTCCTGGCCAGAGAAGTGAGCCTCACCCACCCAGCTCCTCTCAACGCCAGTACCTCGATGCTGAAGGTCCTGGTTTTCCAGTTCAGGCCACGGCTTCCATACCAGTGTAGCCTTGTGTGTGTCCTGGGCCAGGGCAGAGATATCTTGTAGTTCCGGGATCTCTGCTTGGAATCTCAGGCCAATGTTGATGCGTCTTTAATCACAAGAAGAAAAACAGTGTGGTCTTTAATTTAATGGCCTAGACCAGGAGCAACTGTCAGGAACTTAGAAGGAAACCAGTTTCCGCTGCAAGAAGAACTCAAGGACAGCTCCTCATGGTGTGACCCAAAGATTCCAGGCCTGGCCTTTTCACTGATAAGAACAGCTTTAATGCTGGTGGGGGTGGGGGCAATGCCTGGGGCTTCTTAGCTCAGTGAAACTGGAGTGGAAGTGCAGCTAATTCTACAAGAGGAGTGCTTAGAGCTTGGCTGATAATCCCACTGAACTGGGTATGTGTCTGCAGCAATCTAAAGTATTTATCTCTTTCAGATGACATTTCATATACATTATCCCATCTAAGCCTCACAAAGATCTGTGATGTAAGCAAGGCAGTAATCATGACTGATTTAATGAGTCAACCAAAGTTTTTTTTTTTAATATTTTTTTACTTATTATTTTTATTATTATTTTTTATGTGTATGAGTGTCATGCCTGCATGTAGGTAAGTGGTCCCGTGTCGTGCGATGCCCGAGAAGGACAGAAGAGGCTGTCGGATCCCCTGGAACTGGAGTTACGGCCAGTTGTTGGCTGCCATGTGAGTGCTGAGATTCAAACCTGGGTCTTCTGCAAGAACAGTCAGTGTTCTTAACCGCTGAGCCATCTCTCCAGCCGAGTCAACCAAAGTTTTTAAGGGCTAAGTCCATTCACATCAAAACCAAAATGGTATCAACTCAGTTTTCTGACTCCTGAGTCCATAGACTCAGCCTTCTACCGTGTGGCCTCTTTTCTATGCACTTCCGTGAAGAAGAATCACTTTTCCCTTCCACACTACAGTAGTCCCTCTTTATCTGCAGCCTTCCATGGTTTTGGTTACCCATGGTCAACAGAGATCTGAAAATATTAATGCAAAATCCAGAAATGCAGAAAAGCTTTTCTTCAATGGTCTGCAGTTAATACAGAGATTCATAACTGGCCAGAGAGCTGAGAGTAAGTTGTCTACTGAGTGCTTTGCTCTAAATAGGACGTCTAAATCAATGTCCACCCCCCTTCAAGGCTCAGAGAATATCTTGGAAGAGGAGTGGAAAGAATGTAAGAGCCGGAGGATAGTGAGGAGGGCTGTGAAATGGTGTCTTTGGGACAAGACCACGGCACCCATGATCTCACTGTAGCTATGATAACCTACACAATACGAAATTGACAAGAGAGCAGTCAGCACCCAATAAGCAGCACTCACTGGGCTCAGTGGGTTATTAACACACAAAAAAGGAGAGACGTGAAGGGAGGAAGGGGACATATTAGGGATGCCTGGTGGGGGGGGAGTTGGGAGTTCCTGAGGGGAGTGGGAAGGTGGAATTGGGGTTGCATGTGATCAAGATGCATTTTTTACATGTGAAATTGTCAAAGAATACATAAAGACTTGCTATTAAAAAACAAAACAAAACAAAACACTAATAGCCAGGCATGGTGGTGCACACCTTTAATCCCAGCACTCAGGAGGCAGAGGCAGGCAGATCTCTGTGAGATGGGGGCCAGCTTGGTCTACATGGCAAGTTCTAGGCCAGCTGGGGCTACAGGGAGACCTTGTCTCAAACAAACAAAATTCAGAAAGAAGTAATTCTGTTTAAGTGTTAAGTTTCATGCCATTCTAAGTAGTATGATGAAATCTTGGTAGCGGTCTTTAGTTTTCAGATAGACTATGTCTCAGTTATCAAACTATTGGGCCACCACAGTGCTTATACATAGGGTATGGTACTATGAGAGGTTACTGCTGCCTACTAGGGGGTCTTGGAATATACAAGCCACCAACAAGAGGGGAGGAGGGTAATCGTACCTTCCACTGATCATACCAGTGGAAGGTTTGAGGCTGGCCTCAAACTCAGCCAAGAATCTGAGAGAGGGGGTGTGGGAAGAGGAGTCAGAAGGAGCTTCTTTGTGTTAGGTGCCCTCAAGAGAGAGGCCTCAGTGTCACTGGGGGTGTGAAAGTACGTGGTTCCACACGCTGGCTTGTGGGGATAAGCATGCTAGGTTCTTTAGCTCCAGGGCTTCACATTTTAAGTATACAGTCCTTAGATGCTGACAACTAACAACAGCATTACGAAAATCCATGCTCCTACAATTTCTGTGACCCCTCTCAGTGACAAACAACTATAGAAACTTCTCAAAGCTTCTGCTCCCTTTCCTTAGCTCAGGCTTTTGCTCTAAAGAATAACTGTTTTCCTTACGGTTCAACATCCACAGTCTGCTCTCCAGGTCCTGGGGTAACTGTCACATTGCTGCCATCGATGCTGCCTGAAACACAGAAACCAAAGTTTACAACAGGGAAGGAGTTCCGAAGAAACTAAAGCAAATGAACAATTAGCTAACCAGTGACAGCAAGGCTCCTCTCCTACCAAGTCATACCAATTTCCAGAGAGCTAGATGGCTGCACGGAAGTAAATGCAAGAGAATTCTTCCCTCCCTCCCTGTCCCTGTGACAGGATCCATTTATTTATTTATTTCATTTATTTATTTATTTATTTATTATTTATTTTATTTAATAAGACAGGGTCTCACTATGTAACTCTGGCTGGCTTAGAATTTGCTATGTAAGGCCAGGTGTAGTGGCGCACACCTTTAGTCCCAGCACTTGGAAGCCAGAGGCAGGTGGATCTCTGTGAGTTCCAGGCCAGCCTGCTCTACCTACATAGTGAGTTCCAGGCCAGCTGGGACTACAGGAGACCCTGTCTCAAAGACATGCTCAGCGGTTAAGAACACTGGCTGTTCTTGCAGAAGAGTTGGGTTTGAATCCCAGCACCCACATGGCAGCTAACAACTGTCCATAACTCCAGTTCCAGGGGATCCGACAGCCTCTTCTGTCCTCCGCAGGCATTGCATGACCTGGGTTCACTTACCTACATGCAGGCAATACACACATACAAATAAAAATAATAAATAAAATATTTTTAAAAATTTGCTATGCAGACCAGGCTGGCCTCAAACTCAAAGGTCCACCTGCCTCTGCCTTCTCAGTGCTGGGATTAAAGGAGTGTCCTACCATGCCCGGCCTTATCACATGATCTTTTCTTAACATTTATTATTAATTAATTAACTAATTATTTAGTTATTTAATTAACTAATTATTTAGTTATTTAGAGACAGGGTCTCCCTGTAGCTTTTGCAAATAACTAACCCTATATGTGAATCTACTAAATGCATTTTACGCACTTATATGACCATCCAAGGCAGGCAGTCCTATAAGTGCACGTGCCTGTTCTTTTCCTTACCCCAAAGACACTTTCACTTTTCCCAGACTCAGTCCCTTGAGTTACTGTATCAGATGCTAATCTATGAAACACCTCACACAGTTAAGTGTGATACATAACTGATACTTTCCCACCCACTCAGGGTAGTGCCTTAACACCCTGGGGAGGGGGGGGTCCAGCCTGAGGCTCAAGGGGGAGAGTGACTCACTGGAGCGGCACAACAGCACTCGAGGCGTGGGTGTGAGCGGGGTGAGGGGCAGCTGCGGGTGTGCTCCTGGGCCGTGTCCGGAGATGAGGACGTTGCTGAAGAGCCCTGAGCCCTGGCGCACCGGGCTCAGCATGGGTGGTGGTGTGTAGGGGGGCAGCTCGTGGGCGGAATCCAGGAGCAGGTGGTCCCCGAGGATGCGCGGGGAGCGCAGTTGGCTCTGGTACAGGGTGGCCCCCGAGTAGGAGGCAGGGTTCTGGGTGTAGGAAGGTGGTGGCGGGATGAAGAGGGGCTCAGGCCGGTGCCGGAACTTCTTCTTCTCGGGGAGGGTCTTGAGGGGCTCCTCAACTTTGCTCGGTGGGTGCTGTTTTCTGGGTATTTCCTAGAGCGAGAGGAAGGACCGGGATTCAAACTCCCCATCAAGGCCCCCTTTCCACAGATTTGAGCAGGGATCTCGAGGTTCTAACGGGGGTGTGTTGGGGTGGTTGGGGGGAGCGACCCATCCCCCCCATCCACCTTGAGCTAATCTGCAAGAGTGGATGCAATAAATTCAAATTCTTCTTGCTTATCACGCACGACCTTCCCATCTGTCTTGGATGGAATTCAGCCTAGTGGGCTCTTTAATGCCCCCCACTGCTGCCCCAGGGGCAGGTAACACATACTGTGGGTAGTGGGGGGCAGAAGCATCCCTTCAGGGATGCAGGGGCAGGACTCGCGCATCCTCCCTGAGACACCCACCCACCGTCCTCCAGGCCATTTTAACGGGCTCTCCCTCCAGCCCCACGTCCCCCACTCTGTGGCACGCCCTTCCCTCTTCCGTGGACTTCCTGTCATCACAGTGGAGGGACGACCGGCCACGTGAATACAAAGATACTAACAAGTCCACACGTGCACGTCAAGTAGGTCAGCAGGGCAATGCCAAAGCCGAACAGACACAGACTGTAGTGGTGGGGTGCCAGCATCAATTGGCCCAGAAAAGCGGGCAGCCTGGGGTACCTGTATTGAGGATCTGGGCCTGCTGAGGGACCCAGGCACAGCTGCAGTTCCCAGCAGCTCCAGAGCCAGGGTGGTGACTAAGTAAAGACTGCAGCAAGGGGTGATGGGAAGGGCTGTCAAGGTCACATGACCAGCTGCGTGCAGGCCATGTGACCTGCCCCAGTGTCCCCTCAGCTTTGGGCTCCTCAGGGCAATCTGTTCTTGGAAGGTTTCCCCCCCAGCGTCTAAGGAGGCAGAGATGGGGGTGGGGAGGAAGGACCACAGGGTGTGCTTCGCCCTAAGTGGGCTCTCCTTGGACCAGAGCATCGCTAGCCTTTCCTCCATCAAGGGCTCTCTCCTCTCAGGCGGAGGAGATGTGAAGCTGAGGAGGAGAGAGGCTTCCTGAGAAGAACGGTTGGGAAAGGAGGCTTCTGCCATCCCCACTGGAACGGAGCGGTAAACTGGAACCTATTGAGGCCTTATTCCTGGGTCACTGATGAGGTCATCTAAGCAATGCAGACCTCTTTTATGAAAAATAATTTTTTAATTATTTTTATTTTATGTGTATGAGTGTATTGACTGTATGTGTGTAAGTGCACCCATGTCACGCAATGGCCGCTCCCCAGCACCTGATCCTGATGCCCAAATTTCTGATCACAAGTTCAAAGGTCCTTTTTTTTTTTTTTCTTTCCATCTTTAAATAATGATTTGCTGTCTCCCAGGCGAGACTCTGAGGCGCCTGGGCCAGAGCAGCCACTCAGAATGCCACACTTGGGTCCTGTCTTGAAGTGTTGACAGTGGTTCACCCCACCAAACTAAGAAGTCTGAGAGCTTTAAAAAGCTCCTGGCCCCAGGGAAGAGGGAGAGCCATTGGTAAATGGAGCCTTCAGGGGGAACAGAAGCTAAGAGGGAGCTCTGAATTTACCTTTGATCTAGAGTGGGCTAGGGGTGGAGCTGAGATTAGAATTTAGGACTCTTTCCTAGACTTTTTTTTTTTTTGAGACAGGGTCTCTCTGTAGCCCCAGCTGCCCTGGAACTCACTGTGTAAACTAGGCTGGCCTTGAACTCACAGAGATCCGCCTGCCTCTGCCTCCTGAGTGCTGGGATTAAAGGCGTGCATCACCACGCCTGGCTGTAAATTTTTTTTTTTTTACATTAAAGATTTTGCTCATGTTTCCTCAATCCCGAGTACAGGTATAGACTGCCTCTTAGCTTCCAATGGCTTGCTCACCCCTGCATTAAACCAGGCCTGTCCTTTCTTACTCAGAACTCCCCAATGATCTCCTGAGCAAAAATACCACGTTCTCTTGCTTGTCCCTAATTATTTTAGTTTCCCAGGTATTTGGGGGCACCTCGATTTATGATGGTACCACATTCAGATTAACCCATTGTAAAATAAAATGAAAATATTATAGGTGGAAAATGCTTTTTTTTTTTGCTTGAGACAGGGTCTCCCCATAACCTCTCTGTAGACCAGGCTGGCTTCACAGAGCTCTGCCAGCCTCTGCCTCCAGGGTGCTGGGATTAAAGTAGTGTGCCATCACGCCCAGCTGGGAAAATGTATTTTAATGCACCTGACCTACAGAGCTTCCTTGTTTAGGAACCCAGTGCACTCCAGTCTCTGTTCTTATATGGCTGATTGGGAGTTGGATGTCACTGCCCAGCATCTTGCTAGAGGACTGTATTGTATATTGCTACCTTGGGAAAAGATCAGGACTCAAAATTCTCAGTATAATAAGTACAACTTTTATACCACTGTAAAGTTGAAAACTTGTAAGGGGAACCATCAGGCAGGAAGCATCTGTATTTCTATCTAGCCACCCCCAGGGCATTGGGTTCTCTTCAGCCCTCACCTTACCACTGTCTTGAAGGAGATGGATGGGTGTAATCCCTGTGTGAGATTGCCTCTCACTCCAAATCAGGAACTTCCCTAGGCAAAGGGGACCTTAGATGTGTCTGTCATTCCATCTTTGCCCTGCTGCCAGTTTAAGGGAGGTTCTCCATCAGTCTCTCTTTTGAGTCTTGATGTCACACCAGAGCCCAAACAGCCCTTTCTGGGCTTTTCTAGTTCTCTTTAGTTATCTTTCTTTTTTAAAAAATATTTTATTTATTATATTTTATTATTTTAAGTGTATGAGTGTATTGCCTGCATGTAAGTGCACCCATCGTGCTATACCCATGGAGGTCAGAAGAGGGTGTCAGATCCCCTGGAACTGGAGTTATGGACCGTTGTAAGCTGTCATGTGGGTGCTGGGAATCAAACTTGGATCCTCTGCAAGAGCAGTCAGTGCGCTTAACCACTGTGCTATCACTTCAGCCCCTCAGTTACTTCTGGCCAACCCTCCCCTAAGCCTCCTAGATTCTCAGCAGCCCCCCATTGTCAAAGGACAAATACAACCCAACACACAACTATGTGGATAGGGACCTGTCTGAGAGTCAGTCCTGAGGGTCACACATTCTCCAGGGTGGAGAGAAGAGGCAGGGAGAAGGGTAGTGGGCGGGGACAAAGGCAAGGAGGATTAACAATGAATACACAAATCACTTTGCTTCCTTGAGATTTGGGGTGTGTGGCTCTCAGTGGACTTTGGGAACTTTAAGGAGTCCATTTCCCAGAGTAATTAAGCAGGTGTGATGTTGAGTATATTAAGGCCAATCATCAGAATGGATGCCAAGGCTATTTCCTGGAGGCTCTGTCGTTCAGTGATCTAGCAGCTGGACTTGAGAAAGAGGTCCTCGGAAAGAGCCCAGGCAGAACAATTGTTCATTATCTGGGGCACAAGTATTTTCATATTTTATATATATTAAAATTTTTTTCTTATTTATTTTTATGTGTTTGAGTGTTTTGCCTACATGTAAGTATGTGCACCATGTGTATGAAATGCAATTTATAGATGGTTTTTAGCTGTTACATGGGTGCTGGGAACCAAACCTGGGTCCTTTGGAAGACTGCAAGAGTGGCCAGTGCTCTTAACTTCTGAGCCATCTCTCCAGCTTCTATACTTTTATATTTTAATAACTGGTAGTAAGGTTATTTATACTGGTGTAAACATATCATTTATGTTTAAACATGAGAACACCTTGATTTTCAGAATTTGACTCAGACCATCAACCTGGAAGAGTAACTGGCATTTAATGGTCAATGGGAAGGTGGTCATGGCAGAGCCTCTGGGATAAAACTGTCCCCATGTCTAAGAAAGCAAAGAGATGTCCCCATCCCAGGCAGTACAGCAAAGCAGTGACTCACAGCAGGCGCGTGGGGGGCAGCCCCTTGGGGGGAGTGTGGGGGAGAGGGGGTCATCCTCACGAGCACAGGCATCTCGTCGTCCGACATGGAGCTGGCTGGCTTGTCTCTGGCGGAGGGGGTGGCAGCAACGCTGTTGGTGAACCCCTGAGAGCTGGGCTTGGGTGGGAGAAGCTTGACAGGGACAGACACGGGCATGACCATAGGCGTGAGGCGTTCTGCCTCAGAAGGGAGCTGCGGTGGCGGCGGAGGGAGCTGCGGTGGCGGAGGAGGCGGCGGCGGCTGGGGCTGAGGCTGAGGCGGTGGGGCCTTCTCTCCTTCCTCCTACATAGACAATAAAGGCTTTGATCCTGGGCTGAAAGCAGCTCTCCCATTTTCTCAAAGGTTCCCGGACATCAGTGGTAGGTAACAGAGCCGCAGCTGAGTGGTTTCTTTTCCGTAACTCTGGATCCCTAAGCTACACTTAGGGTATCTTGACTATGTATCACTTATATATTAAAATAATTTTTTTTGGTGGGGGGACAGGGTCTTACTGTGTAGCCCTCCCTGGCTGGCCTGGAACTCCCTACGTATAACAGGCTGGCCTCAAACTCACAGAGATTCATCTCCTGTTGGGACTAAAGGCATGTGCCCCTACTCCTGGCTGCTATTAATTTTTTTTTTTGGTGGATGTCATTGCTTTTGAAGAAAGGACACGGACTTGTACTCACTCAAACGAAATGTATAATGTTACTTAGGCACTTTTACTGCAGCCTAAATTTTTATTCAGATTAGGAAACCACATTGAGAATGCAAAATAATGCTATGGTTTTTGTTTTTGGGTTTGTTTTTTGTTTTTTGTTTTTGCTTGTTTGTTTCTTTGTGACAAAGTCTTGCAATGTAGCCCAAGCTGGCCTCAAACTCATGATCTTCCTGCCTCAGCCTTCTGAGTACTAGGTTTACAGGCCATGTATCACCACACACGGTTTAAAACGTACCTTTTTCTTATTCTTTTCTTCTCTTTTTTGAGACAGCGTCTCCCTCTAGTCCCAGCCAACCTGGAACTCAGTATATAGAGCATGCTGGCCTTGAACTCACAGAGCTCCACCTGCCTCTGCCCCTCAAGGGCTGGGATTAAAGGAGTATGCCACCACATCTGGCTCTACGTTTTTCTTTTTACTTTCTGGGTGTTTTGTTTTTTTATTTTGCTTTTGTTTTTGAGAGAGGGTCTTGCTATGTAGACTTGGCTAGCCTGGGACTTGATATGTAAACCAGGCTGACCTTGAACTTGCAGTGATTCTCCTGCCTAAGCTTCCGGAGTGTTGGTATTATAAGTATGAGATGTGCCTAAGTCTGGCAACAGAGTATTTATTTGTTTGCTCATTTATTAGCTGTGACTATGTGTGGCAACATTTTATTTATTTATTATTTGTTTATTTATTTATTATTTATTTATTTAGAAAAGGTCTCCCTGTGTCCCCAGCTGACCTGGAACTTGGTATATAGACTAGGCTGGCCCCAGTCTCACAGAGATCCACCTGCCTCTGCTTCCCAAGTGCTGGGACCAATGGCATGCACCCCCACGCCCTGGCTTAGCAGTCTATGTTTCAAAAAGTGAAGACAAAAACTTTTATCTGGCATGGCCAGGAAACGGAGATGGGAGAGTTGATCTTATAAAATCAATATTCAAAGAACTTTCAGAAAATTCTATGAGTTTTAACCTACTCCAAAGACTCATGGAAAGTTTCTTACTTGGATATCCAACTGGATAGTCCAAAGGGTTGTTTTAGGATTGTTAGCCAAACACCAATGCACTGATTCTGGCCAAGAGAATAATAGTTACATTGCTTTTCTTAGCCACTGACCACTGATCTCCAAGATTATGTAGTTGTGGCCTTGGGTGTTTCAAATAGTATTGTGTATATATACATATTTAAGAATTTTATTATTTTTATTTTATTATTTAAAAATATTTTATTATTTTTATTTTATGTGTTTGACTGTATTGTCTGAATGAATGTAAGTACACTGTGTCATGCAATGCCCACAGAGTCAGAAGCAGGTGTCGTATCCCCTAGAACTGGAGTTATGGATGGTTGTTAGCCACCATGTAGGTGGCTGGAAATCGAACCTGGGTCCCCTGCAAGAGCAGCCAGTGCTCTTAACTGATAAGCCATCTCTCTAGCTCCTCGAGTAGTATATATTTTTTGTTTGTTTTTGAGACAGGTTCTCACTGTGTAGCCCTGGCTGGTCTCAAACTCACAGAGAGTTTGAGTTAAATATTTTTTTGTTTATTATTTTTATTTTATGTGTATGCGTGTATTGCCTGCATGTAGGTAAGTGCACCCATGTTGTGCAATGGCTGAGGAAGACAGAAAAGGCTGTCGGATCCCCTGGAACTGGAGTTACGGACAGTTGTTAGCTGCTATGTAGGTGCTGGGATTCAAACCCAGGTCTTCTGCAAGAACAACCAGTGTTCTTAATCGCTGAGCCATCGCTCCAGCCTCAAAGTAGTGTAATTTAAAAATAATATTGCACATAATTATTTATTTCCTTTTGCACCCTTCCCTACGAGAAGAGAATGTTCTAGCATCCCTCTTTTTTGACTCGTGTTCATAAAGCCATGGGGAGTGGGGGCTATATGACCTGCCTGGCTCCCAATAGCAAAGCTTAGGCTTTCTGGTCTGGGGAGGACTTTGCCTCTCCCATTGCTCATAAAAGGCTTACATCTCCATCTCACTCTGTCTGATGGCGGCAAAGCAAAGCAAGCAGCACCTGGCCAGGGAGGGACTGAGACTGAATCCTGCTGACCTGTTTGAGGCTGGGGGAGGCCCTCATTCCCCCGTGGGACCGCATGTGGCCATTCAGGGCAGGCAGGCTCTTGAACTCCTTCAGGCAGATGGAGCACGTCAGCTTGTTCTTGGCATCAAACTGCTCCCCAAACACTCCTTTGGGTTGGCCACTACTCAAGGATAGGGCCACATGGAAAGGATACACAATGATGAGGAAGAGGAAATGACAGTTTATCACAATACCTCACACCCACAATAAGCCTGTTTTATTCATCTAATCCTCCACTGTCCATGGCCCCCAATACCCTCTACAGATTCAAGCCCAATTTACAGATGGAAAAACTGAGGCTCAGAGGGAAAAGCCTTCTTTCCTTCCTTCCTTCCCTCCCTCCCTCCTTTCCTTCCTTCTTCCTTCCCTTCCTTCTTCCTTTTTCTTTCTAAAAAAAGATTTATTTTCATTTTCTGCACATGAATGTTTTGCCTGCATATATGTATGTGCACCACATATGTCCCTGGTGTCTATGAAGATTAGAACTTGACATCAAATCCCCTGGAACTGGAGTTAACAGACATTTGTGAGCCTCTGTGGGTATTGGGAACAGGAATAGAACCTAGGTTCTCTGCAAGTGCAGCCAGTACTCTTAACGGCTGAGCCATCCATCTCTCCACCCCTTTGAATGTTTTTTAAAAAATTATTATTTATTAATAATAAATAAAATATA